AGATATTGATAATACACATAGAGTTAATGGTATTTCATAACTAATTGATTGAGCAGCAGCTCTTAAACCACCTAGAAACGAATATTTATTATTTGATCTATATCCCGACATAAGAAGCCCAACGGGAGCAAGACTTGAAACAGCGATAAAAAACACCAATACTAAGATCGACTAGAATAAGGCGATAACCAAAAGGAATTACTGAATAACTTAGTAAAATGGATATATATTCGGTCCTCATTTTTTTTTTTCCAATTATGAATGGTGTGTTGCTTTGACATGAAAAACATGCCCAAGAATGAATTGATTCTTAATTACCGAAAATATTTTTGTTGTATTATAAAAAAAGAAAAAAGGAAAAATATCTTGGTAGCAACATAACCACCTCATTATAATAATAAACGAAGACAAATATTTTAAATAAAATGCATGTATATCAAGAATTTAACCTTGGATTTCTGAAATTAATTCTCGTCATTTTTGAAACACGTTCTCCAAAATTAGCTACGTTCGGAAATAATTCACATAATATAGTCGAGGACCATGAATTAAATGTGGCGATGGTCCGGCACAATTATTGTCCATCTAACAACTATATCATGTGTTTGTTAGTATTATTGTTGCGTTTTATGTAGAATTATTTGTCTTCATTTATTATAGTAGTTAGTGTGGTTATACTGTCACCACGATTTATTTATTTTTGTGTCTATGACTTTATATTTTTCATGCGAAGCAACAAGACATTTCTTAATGAAACAAGAAGCTCGAAAAATATAAAATAGCATACAAAACATAAGGTTGTGGGTTCAAGTGTGCAACTAATGGTTGAGGTAAAGAGTTTAATTGGGAAATACCATAAGATGGAAATAACAGATATATATGAATGGGGTACTTATTTATGTCGATGTACTTATGGTCATTTTAGTAAATAGAAAAATGTTAAAAGGTGTGATGAAAAAAAAAAGGTAGTTATATTGTCACCACAATTTTTATTTCATACACCACATTTTAATTGTAGTTAAGCTTCTTAATCTTTTTCATTGTAGCAATTATTTTCTAAACTTTTTGGTCGAATACTTAATTTTGATTTTCTATTAATCAGTACATCTCATCCCTAATAGTGATTTATATCAAAATATTTTGTCTTCATGCTTTGAAATGATAAAAAAATAAATTTTTCGTACTTTTCATTTATTTATTATTTTTTTAAAATACGATGAGAAAATAAGTTGTTTTACGCCATTTCTATGGGTTTCTGAATATAAAACTATTATCAAATACAATGAAAGATACAATAAAAGGTTTGAGAATAAAAATGACATGAAAAATGGTTAGGGATATAAGTGCTATTGTGAGAAAAAATTAAAAATCTTTAGTACAATTAAAATATAGTGCAAGAAATCAAAATTGTTGTGCCAAAAAGAAATCATTGAATTATAAACATCCTTGTATGATAGTAGGCTATTTGCAAAAAATTTAATTGATTAGAGAAATTCCTTTCTAATTTTTATATACAAATATATGTAAAATAATATAAACCTTGAGATTTTAGAGTGACCATATATGTTATACATACACAAGTGAGAAGCTAGTGTAGTGGCATATGTCCTAGCTAAACAGGCATTCATAATGGTTAGCTTGTCTATTTGGGTGATCGCCAACCTAATCTTTTGTAAATTTATTGCTCGTAGAATTCAATATCAATTAAGATTTGGGTGTTTTTCGTTTAAAAAATATATCAACAAACCTATTAATGCGACGTGAAGTCTTCAAAGAAACATTGAAAAGGAAGGATTGAAGACATTTAAGTGATGGATCGTTGACATAGTCCTCAAACGTAAACACTTGTCTCGCTTAGGTGCCAATTATTTTTTTTCATCGCATCTAGGTTTCCAAATTGTCTCTTTCGGTGAATATTCTTTTTTCTTCCCTTTTCATTCTTTTTTTTTTTTTTTTTCATTTACGAGGAAAAAAAGAGTAAGTTTTCTTTTTTCATAAAAAGTTTAGCCAGTTAACTAAAGATAAGGGTAAATAGCCCATTAAGGACCAAAGTCCTACCGGAATGAAAGATTAAGGATGTTAATGCTCCAATTTGAAAATTGAGAACCAAGGTGAAATAGGCATCAAAGATAGGGGACGTCCTTTGCTATTTTCCATTTATTTTATTGCCGGTTGAAATGTGCTAAAGACAGTGTGAGTCACCGACGTTACGTTCACAAAATATATTTTAGATTAAATCAATGTCGAATAGGTTTATTCACATTGTGTTTCGCAAACATTAGAGCATTTTATATCGGTTTTGCAATTGTTTGCTTCATGTGTAAACATTGGTTTGTGCAAAAGTATAAACATGAGAAATCTATTTAATTCGTCTTGAATGTCTTGAACGACTCGAGAAATCTTCTTTAGCGTGCAACTGTTAGACAAATTTGAAAGCGGCTTGTTTGTCTTGAACGATTTGAGAAATCTATTCAATTTGCCTTCTAAATTGTTATGTAGATTGTTATTAGCATATACGTAAATTTAGATGTGCACATTCCAAATTGAAGACTCAAAACTATTTTTAAGGTTTTCAAAACATTTTCAAAGAGCTTGAGATCTCTTTTGGACGAACTATTTTGGAATCACACTGGACGATTTTACATTAGAAGCTCACTCTACCTTTACTTTCTTTACTTTCTTTTTCCAGATTCTCACGGTATGATGGGATTGCATACGAGGACAAAGCACATTATAATTTACTCATGACTACCAAAACTGTAAAATGTGTCATATTAGTTCTCAATTATTATTATTTTAATCACCAAATTAACAAGTCGCTACTTTATTAGTCACTCAAACGCGTATAACTTATTAAACTTAACGATTCAGCTGAGGCGTATGGCAACATTGCTTATTTGGTTGATAATTTTGATGCGACGATGTTAATAATTAAAAACGCTCGATCAAACAAAATAGGTGCACCTCTAAATTGGTGTTGTAGGTGTTCCTGTTTTTAATCTATTCAACTTTCGTAGAAGAAATAATTTTAAGAAATCAATTGAAATTTTAATTCTTAAGCAAAATAGTTAATAATACTATTTTGGCCGTCTCTCCACCTTTGTTCAAATATACTCTAGAATTCTCATGATACTTTGCCCTCTCCAATAGACCGACCATCCCCTCCACCCACACAAGAGCACAAGGCTAAAAGACTTGTTATTTCATTTGAATACTTTTATGACATATTTGGTAGTAATTTGAATTTACGTAATAATTACGTGAAAAAATTGTTGTAATATTACGAATTGTCATCAAAGTGAAAGATGGCAGGTGACAAAATGGTCAGTTTTTCAAAGTAGAGAACTGAATTCATTGACCTAATTGAAATTTAGGAGTCAATTGAGACAAATTAAGTTCAGTGATCCAATTGAAAATTCACTAAAAACTCAATGACCGCAGATGATATTTGCCATTACTTTTTCCCTCACCACTTCCTTTTCCAGGCTCCCAAGGTACGATGGATTGCGCACGATCCTTTGCTCATGAATATAAAATGCCAACATGGGAACTTTATTCTCTTAATCCAATGAATTCTATCTTAAGGGCTGTTTGGGCCTGATTTTTTATCCAAAAAATTAGTTTCTTGATCGTTATTTTACTATTTCAATCGTTATATTTGACTTCTTCTCTCACAGGTGGACCACACTTTTCTCCTAACGATCAAAAAATCAATTCTCAAAATTACTTCCAAATAGCCTCTTAAATTCCGTTCTATCGACTATCGAATTTGTCACTTTAATTATTCAACTATTTTTTTTTTTTTTGAAGTATAGAAGATACTTGTCTTGCAAAGTTATTTTAATTAAGTTACTCATTACATATTTTAAAATAAATTTAGCAAGTGTTGCATAGATTACATGAACATAAATTATAGAAAAAAATGTGAAAGAGTAGTAAAAATTTGAAATTAAGTTAAATTTTGTTCTAACCATAGAACAAAATAAAATAAAAATAAAAATCGGATTAGATTTGAAGCAGGGAATATGATCCCTTTTCTCGCCTCTATTTATAGGGATTTTTTATTTTTGTTATATTCAATTCACTTATCCAAGTGAGATAAATCAATGTTAGATAAAGTGGATTGAAAATGAACTAAAAATTCAAATGATTGCGCATGCCTCTGTTTGAGCCCCATTTTTTTTTTTTTTTTTTCATTTTTCTTCTACAATAAAGCAATGAATACAGGAAAATTTTAGCAGGACTTGTATCAACACTGACGTGGCAAAATATGATTGGACTGTTTTCTTTCTTTTTTCTTATCTTTCAATAATGTCGCGCCATGTATCGTCTGTAAAGTTGTTTTTGTCAAAAAATTCTATACCTGCAGCATTGTCATTTTTCTATCGTACTCAATTTCAACCACACATTTTTTATTAAAATAATATTATATACAAATCAATTTTTTTTTCTTTTTTAATCATATATTTTTCAACAATTTACCATTTTATAATACATTACAAGAAACTGATGGGCTCAAACAGGCGCCAAGTTTATGTTTCAAATTTCCTCTAGAACTCCGGACTCTCAAGTCACTTTTCCCCATCCAAAATACTCAAACAGACACTCACTACGGCACATAAAGCTCAGATCCCTCTGGCGTAGCTTCTGTGTTATTTTTCTCCTCTTCTAGACTTAGCAGCCCACTATTGGTCAGTCTCTCTCTATCTTCCTTTTCTTTTACCTCTCTACTGCAAGAATTTTCTGCTCATTATGATTATGATTCTCCTTGTTATTTGTAATGTCTTGTTTTTGCAACGTATGGGCATTCTTTAGTTTGTGGTTTAGGAATTGATATTTTGTTCATCACGGTTTAGATTTTCTAGATTGGGTTTAAGCAAACGTAAATTTTGTTTCCAATGATGATGCATTTTTAGCTAAGTCGCAACTGTATACACTTCAATTCTTTTGAAAGAGACCCAAAAAAAAAAAATAATAATAAAAAAATAAAAAAATGATTACATATAAAAATACAAATGAATTTCAAAAAGCATAAGCTGGTAGGGAGGGATGGTCAAGTGTATATATCTTTTAAATCTTGATTTTAACATTCCTGTCACATAACATGTGCATAATTTTATTAAATGGAGTCTAGGCCTGGTTTTATCTGTTGAAAGTATGTCAGATGCGAATGCTGTTCTCTAACCATTGTTAGGAGCTTGGAACCAGATTGGAAAAGAAAATAATTTGCATTTAAGAAGATGAATTTTTTGCTTTTGGAACCAAATGAAGGCATTGGAGAAAGCAAAATACTAAAGAATATATATATTGAAGGATTTAAATTTACAAATATATGTTTTTGAATTTTTGTTTTAAATTTAATCTTAACGTCATAGGTCAGGTCCAGAACTGAAGGAAAACCAGAGTGAAACTTATGGGGGAAATTTGAATTGGACTGCCTACTTTTGCTTGGTTTCTTTCTTTTTATGCTTTGTCTAACTTCATTCTGGAAGCTTTATCATTATTCTGAACTAGGACAGAGATTATGAGGATTATTCTTCCTTTTCATCTCACTTTGTTTTTTATTTCTTCCAGTCAGATGTTCAAGTGAGGCTAACAACACAGTATTGAAGCTCAAAATATTTATGCAAGAATTGTTAACGGAGTTTTAAGTTGAAAAGAGATACTATGCAACAAGATAGTGGTTCTGGTGGCCCTTCAACATCTAATGTGCCTACTGGGCACTTACATCGACGTAGAGGTTCAAATGAGGTTAGTTATTTTCTCTGATAAAATTTAATGCTGATATACTTCAGTTATCTTCTGTATTATTGCTGGTAAGTATACCTCAGTATCTGGTGTTTGTTTGCTAATGCCTTTTCGAGAAAAAAAAAAAAAAATAATAAATAAAAAAAAAAAAAAATCTTTTGCATTGTTAATGTTTAGGGCTTCTAAGCAACTTCCGTTTTTCATTGTTTTATTTTAAGTTGCTAATTATTATACATTTGCATCTTGATCATGATATGTAATTTTTTTTAGAAAGAAACTGCAGTAGGGAGCTATTGGGAAATCTACCATCTGTTTGGCTCTGAAGTAGATAAACAAATTAAAGAAAATGCTATGAACTTGGTCTTCTCCAAGAGGAACAATTTAGAGCCTGTTTGAGCCCCATTATAATGAGAATGAGAATGAGAAATAGAGCCGTTATGGACCCCACACCAGAGATAGAAATTCAAAAATGATGGCTTGATGTGATGGATAACGGTCATATTTTTCATTTTAATGAGGTAAAAATGTCGCTCAAACAGGGGCTTAGAATCAACATGCAAGCTTGAGTAATCTGCTTCGTACGTTGCTCAGATCATTAGTAGTTCTCAATAAGTGTAATCCAGTTCTTATTTCTAATGGAGAGAATTGGGAGCAATGGTTTCATTTTATTTCTTGTCTGTTACTAAATTCAAATCTAAAAGAAATTTTAGTCTTACCTATATATTGCATTCTTTGGGACTTGGGGTTTCAGAATTTTTGTCTGATTGCCACTTAATTTATTATAGAGTCCTCCGGAAGCTATTGAAACAAATGGCAGCTATTTACTCGTTAATGATAGAAAGAAATACAAGTCGATGTTAATCCGTTTATATTCATCTGTTTGGATGATTGGAGGCTTTGTCTTCATAATATACTTGGGTCACCTTTACATCTGGGCCATGGTGGTGGTTATCCAAATCTTTATGGCAAAAGAACTGTTCAATTTACTAAGGAGGGCACATGAAGAACGTCGCCTCCCAGGTTTCAGGCTCTTAAATTGGTGAGGAAAGTTAGCTTCTTTCTGCTTCTTAACTGAATATTAAGCATCGAGCTTTGTAAGTATTTTGATGCTTATGTTATTCTTGGGTGTGGCATTGTGTGGGTTTCAAGCTCAATTTAAATTTAAACTTAGCCTGGCTGCTGAATGTTCTTCGTGGCTGGTTTATAAGGACCTTATTATATCGTTGTCTCTTTATGCTCATGTTTAGTTGGAAACTTGTCCCGACATTATTAAATCCTTTTAAATCTTCTTAAATAGAGAGGCATTTGAACTTATTCAGTCTGTTGATCGTGATCTGGAAAAAAGAACGTCGGAGACGGCATATTTTCTATTTTAAGAAATCATCTTTGTTCACAAAGATGGGCCAAGTTTATATGGTATTTCTTGTCATTCCTCCCAACATGAAGCGTTGGAGAAAGCATTTGCATCTATGCCTAGTATTACATTGTTTCAATGAACGAAGGCTGCTCTTCAAGTTGCAAACTTTTATGTATTAGAAATATTGGCTGTATCTTGTTAAATGAAAACTGAAACAAGCAAACAAGAAACATGCACTGATGAAAATTGACACGTGCTAGTGAGTGTGCATGTATTCATAGGAACATGGGCTCTTGTTAACTTCCCATCCACGGTTGCAATTCGTCGTTATTTTTTTTTTCTTGGTCAATTACGTTGCACTAAGTCCTGTTTGAGCCCCATTCTACGAAAACTCATTTTCAATCAAACATTCTTTCAATGAAATAATTTTACATGTAAGCAAACTTTTCCCTACTTTTTAACTACACATTCTCCAAAATTCCCTATTACAAAGCCTAATTGACCCAAAAATGGGGTTCAAACAAGCCCTAAGTGATTTACTGCATTTTCTCCATCTTGTCATTCCTTTTTTTTTTCTTTTTCTTTTTCTCTATCTTCTCTGACTTGAGTATTTTCTATCTGCTCTTCCACTTCTCAATATAGGTCACTTCTTACAATCAATTCTTTGCATCCTGCTTTGCTAAACATAATCTTCCTTTTTTGCTGACTCATGTGATTCAATGATAGAATGATATGAAGAAGCATGATCTGTTCTGAGTGTCTTATATCATGCAGAGATGACCTCTTCAATATGAGTTACCGTTTGAAACTTGTTAGGAAATGTTCACCACAGGGTGCTTTAATGCATAGAGCATTATCTGAAGAATCATGTATTTGAGCACATTGTTAGGCTTAGCCATAGACATTATTTTGGACTGGCTTTAGCACATTGTAACCGAAACTGATCTGTGATAAGGTATTTGCGATTTTCTGTGCCACTTGCTATCTAATCACTTGCCATTGTACCCATGGCTGACCTTCTGATTGTTTTACAATGTCATGGAGTCATGTCTGTTTCGTTCTCCAAATACCCGCCAAATTTGGCCCAAGATCTAATGCTATGTTGATGGAGTTAATTTAATTTATTGGCTTACATTTCTCACATCTATTGTTATACAATTTCTTTAGATTTATCTGGTCTTTGCTAATACTTGCTATTCTTATTTTTTGTGATTCTCTTCTTTTGTTCTTAGGCACTTTTTCTTCACAGCAATGCTGTTTGTATACGGTCGTATTCTCAATCAGAGGCTCGCCAATACTGTTACTTCAGACAAATTTTTGTATCAGCTCGTTAGCAGATTTATCAAGTATCATATGGTTACCTGCTATTTCTTGTATATCGCTGGTTGGTATTATTCGACTCTTGGGTGTTCTCTCATGAATCGTTTTGAGGAAATATAAGTGCTGAGCAGCTTCTTGCTAAATTATGCTTGCTTGGGTTGTAGATGATGCTAAATTGGTGTTGTTCTATGCAGTATTTTTGTAAATCTTTTCAGTTAATATGTTGGAAATAAAATAGCATATGATCGTTATTGAGTTTTCTTCTTACTTGCTGGTATTTTTCCATCATGTAAGGTATCTCATTTAAGATTTGTATTTTGCTACACTGGAAAAGTGCCAATGATTTTTTTCTCTCCTGTTGACATCAGGTTTTATGTGGTTTATTCTTACACTAAAGAAGAAGATGTACAAGTATCAGTTTAGTCAATATGCATGGACGCATATGATTTTGATTGTGGTGTTCACACAGTCCTCCTTTACTGTGGCAAATATTTTTGAAGGAATTTTCTGGTAACACTTGTACCCCTCTTAATCTTGTTCATTACTTCAAGTCTCTCTCACTCTCTCTCACATTTTTTTTCACTTTCTACTTCAATTAATAAGATTGTAGCATAGAATGTGGCCAGGTCCATGTTTTATTCGCATTTATATTTAAAAAATGTGGTTAGATCCAAGATAAATTCCTTTTGAGTGAATGCATTGACTTTGAATTACACCTCGAAAGAAATAGGGTAAATTGTGGCTTCTGTCCCCAACCTTTATCTACTTGGGGACTTCCACACTTCAATCTTTGCTTCTGGGAAATTGTATCCCCAGCCTTTCATAAATTAGCGGTCAACATCCTTCTATGGTTTCCGTCCAAAATAGCTATTAAGTAGGCGTAGAGAATCGAAACTGGCCTTAAATTTTAATAAACAAGAAAATATATACCCACACATGCACACAAAAGTTTTGAAAATAAAATAAAATTGGTTGGTAATCATCTTCATCAGTATCACCATTTTCAGCATTAATTGCAGTGAACTCCAGAGCAATATCTGAACAAAAAACTCATCAAAGCTGCAAGATGACTTAAACATCAATTCAATACCGTGAAAATGAAACATCAATTCATTGTACCGAGATCACAACATATCTGAACAAAAAAAAAATATATATATCTAAGCAAGGAACAATTAAACATTAATTCGATACCACTAAAAAGAAATATCAACCACTTCACCAAAATCACAAATATGTTATATTAAAAAGAGGACAGAGTGAACAAAATCATTACTGGAAAGGTGCCTTCAACGGTTCTTCTGACCACATGGTTTATCACAATAGATATCTTATTCCACAGCCACATTTTTTATTTACAAGCACAGGGCATGGCAGACAAAACCATGAGGAAAGATCTTGTCACATATATGCGTGAACATGTTTGAATCAAATCCATTGAAATCAGATCTATGAACATGAACTTCAACAAAGTGAATAAAAAATAGTGGTAGTTGGAGACTGCAGCTTGGCAACAATGATGGTGGTTAAGACCTTTTGCTCAATGAATATGATGAACATTTTTCTTTTCCTTTTTCTCTTGTTCCCTTTTAATTTGTGTATGTTTTTTTTTTTTTTTTTTTTTTTTTTTAAATTCAAATTTAAGGACAGTTTTGACTTCCTACATACTTAACATCCATTCTGGATGGAAAACATTAGGAGGATGCTGCCCGCTAATTTGTAAAAGGTTGGGATAAATTGCCAAGAAACAAAAATTGGGGGTATATGTGCCGAAGGAGGTATAGGTTGGGGATGGCAGGCACAATTTACCCAAGAAAACCTTATTCTTTTGGGAGGTAAGAAAGGTGTCTTTAATTTGTCTTCTCCATAGTTGGAGCATCTTTTAGACTTTGCTAGATAGGTTCTTCCTGGACTTTTTTGCCAAAACCCTGACACTAAAACTTTCCTTGATCGCATTTGGTGATTAACCGCAATATCAGCATGCACGATTTATTAGTTGAAATAAAAGCCTGGCATTTATATTTGGAAAAATTGAACTTGGATGAAGAACTTCAAACATATATTAAAATCATGCAGGTTTCTTCTTCCAGGGTCACTTATTATCATCAATGATATTGCTGCTTACTTTTTCGGGTTTTTCTTTGGGAGAACTCCTTTGATCAAGTTATCACCAAAGAAAACATGGGAGGGCTTTATCGGAGCATCTGTTACTACTATTATATCTGCATTTGTGGTGAGCAATCTGTCTTTTTATTGGGAAAGACGAGATACCAGATGAACCTTAGTACTCTAATTTTTGAGTTTGTATCATTGACTTTGACTCCTAGCCTGGTCCTAGATGTTTAAGTAATTTCTCTTGGGGAAGTCTTGGGAGAGAGAACTTAAACATCAAAGGTTTGGAGCTCATCATTTAGATCTGTATAATTGGTTGTACCTCTTTAGCGCAATTTCTGATCATAACCATCTTACATTGTATGAGAAGAAAGCGAGATAGCAATAGATATTTGATTGGTGATATGCAAAACTGAGATGAATTTATTATCACTCATTTGCAGCTTGCAAATTTCTATGGTCGTTATCAGTGGCTAACATGTCCGAGGAAGGTATTTTTGCTTATATCTAATCATCTCTGTTGAAAAATTAACAGTGTCATCTTTGTTGGAACTAAATATTAAGATTTTCTCTTGATCTTATGACATGTAGGATTTATCAACTGGTTGGCTTCATTGTGATCCTGGTCCACTTTTTAAGCCAGAATATTGTTCACTGCCAGAATGGGTTCCTCAATGGGTAACCCTTTTTTCTAACTAATCTATGTCCTCATACCATTGTTTTGTCTACGGTGCCTTTATTAAGGAAATACATTTTTGAAAGCATGAGAATATAGGATTGCTTTTATGAAATATACTCTCAATTTTTCTTTTATCTAAATCAACCTTTCCTTTCCTCTTGCAGTTCCCTTGGAAAGAGTTCCCTATTTTGCCAGTACAGTGGCATGCATTGTGGCTTGGCCTATTCGCATCAATTATAGCACCATTTGGAGGCTTTTTTGCCAGTGGCTTTAAAAGAGCTTTCAAGATCAAGGTCCAATATCATTAATATATCCAACTGGAGCTAAGCTTTTAAGATTTAAGTACACTATTATTTATTTTGGCAGTTTGTGCAGACCCCCTCGTATACAAGACACATGCAGTTCTTAAATATTTTCTTTTTTCTGCAGGATTTTGGTGATAGTATTCCTGGGCATGGTGGAATCACTGATAGAATGGATTGCCAGGTGAGTTCGAGGCCTAGTTGCACTAATGCAAGTCTCTTGGCTAGTCATGTATGCATTGCCACGTTATTTTGACTCACACGCTCATGTTTATAGATGTGTGCAGTACTAACTTTTATGGTACTCTTCTGGATTGGGAACCTTATTTGTCATTTTAGTTTAATTGTGATATAAATGACTTCAAATGTGTCACCTTGTGTGGTACCCATGTCTGTTTTTTCCATTGTCTGGCATTCCTTCTAAATTTTTTTTGGAGCCCTTTTATTCTATGAAGGACCCTCCTTTTGTAGTGTGAAGAGATCATGTTTAGACAATATTAAACCTGCGATTCAAAATTTCTTTTTGAATGAACTAGTCAAATCATTGTTTGCATCTATGTGTATGTCATATATAGCCCCGTTTGTTGTGTATTACAATCTAGGTCAAAGTTAGCTATTAATTTTAACCACACATTTCACAAGACCTAGAACTTTCAATCACACAATTCATCAATTTTTATACTAAAAGTCTAATTTTTAGCTACACCAAACAGGGGCATTATTTGGAACTTGACACTATATTAATTTGATGGCTTTAGGAAGTTGGTGTTGGACGCTAGTGAAGAAAACTTTCTTGGTCTTACGGCATTTCGATAATCTTTTTGGAATTATGGAAGGCTAGACAATAACAACTTGTAGGATAAGATGAGCACTTGCAAGTTTGCATGAATTATAAACATTACGCAGTTGTGTTTAATTATTCTATTTGTTTTCATTTCTTCATCAGGCTTCAATATTAGATTGAATTGTTTTCAAATAGTACAAAAATAATTCCCCTGGTGTTTTTTACTACAATGTTGATGGTGTTTTTGGAAATTTTAATCTGATCCATTTATATATCTTCTACTTCTAAAGCCTTACTTCCAATAATCTAAATTGTTGATATAACTGATGTCATGAAGATGTGAAATAGTGAAGATTAAGATATGAAATATTGAAGATTAAGATATGTACTATATATAATAAATGCCTGTCGAGGACGATAAACTGTCTCTCTCCCAGTTGGGAAAGAAGGGGCTATGAATCAAAGCAAAGGGCACCCTTTAACGTCTGATCCTTATAACCCAGCTTTCTTTTGTCAATTCGCCAATCACCAGCTTAATAGTGTTTATATATTGAATTCTTAAACGTGAGGGAGTTGCTGATATGTTGAACGTTAAGTACACCTAGTGTGATTCCTAATACAAGAGTCAAAATAGGGACAAGCACCCATATGATCCTCGATTCTCTTTTAACGTTTTTGCCAAATGTTTGGCGTGGTTAACGTGCAGATGGTGATGGCTGTATTTGCATATATCTATCATCAGTCATTTGTTGCACCTCAGAGCATATCAATTGAGATGCTTATGGATCAGGTAAGTAATATTTCTACACTCATCGTGAGTTCAAAAGACAAAAACACTTGATATTCTCTCTGTTGTGTAAATATTGATGAACCTTACTTTCAGGGAGCATTTCGATCTGATATTTTCTCTCTTTCGTGTAGATATTGATGAACCTTACTTTCGAGGAGCAGCTCGATCTCTACATGAAGCTCGGGCAGATGATCCAGGGCAGGCAGTTTGGAGAAGCCTATTTAAATGACTGATTATGTATATATATTACAAATGTTAAGCTGCATGCTTTTAGTCGAAAGAGTGTTTTTCATTTTTTTTCCTCATTCAAAATAACTGTGCAGTACTCTTTACATTTTGCACTCTGTACCGTGCTTGTCCCATCAGATTTGTGGGAAATCTTTGGATGAATTTCTGTAGCATCTCTCCTGCGTCAAACATGTTTATTCCTTCATGCATGACAAATTTATTAGCTAGGCACAAGGTAATAAATACATATTTTTCTTGATTGGGTTGAAGACGGAGAAAAAAAAAAAAAAATTCATTTTTGGAGCCTGCAGTTTGGCCTACAAAATACTCATCTCAGTTTTTAAGGGACCAAAGTGCAAATAATAAAAATATGATTTTCATTGACAGAAAGATGTTCAAAATATGATCGTTAATTGGAGAGAGGGGTCTGCCGAATTATTTGTCAATGGCTCGTCATCTAATTGTCCTTATTCAATTGGAGCCTTCTCCTTCAGTCGGCCAAGAAATCGTTAATTCCTAGGCCCACAAATGTCAACACTAAAATCTGAGGCTGATGAAACAAATATAAGAAGAAAAGGGGACTGCAAATTAGACACTGGTTATTGAGCAATGGAAACTGAGGTGGAAAGTGTAATGGAATATGGTGGTTCGCTCCCTGTTGAGAATGTACAGCAACTATCTTCCCACAACTCAAAAGACATCCCACATCGCTACGTTCGACCAGAACTCGAGATCGAAAAAGTTTCTTTCGATGAATCCTCGCAGATTCCAGTGATTGACATGAGCAAGCTAGATACCGAAATATCTAGAGTGTATGATCAGGAGTTGTTGAAGCTTCATCTTGCTTGTAAAGAATGGGGATTCTTTCAGGTAATATCTATAATTGACGATATTTTAACTAATTTATCTTCTTTGATCGTAATCCAGTACTGTTGTCTAGGCGAGCACATTGAACGTGGCATTTATATTTACCGAGATTGTGTAATGCTTACTCTGAAACTCTTCGTTTATACCGTAGTGATATTTTTTGTTTCTCTCTTCATCTTTGGATTCCTATCTGGAGATATAGAACAGCATATAAGTTATCATGCTTGCATATCCATCATTTGAGTCTCCAACAATTATTCCAATAATTACATATCCGATTTGACCTATGGACGAGGGTTTCTTCAAACAACAAGGGGCTGGGTCAACTATTCAATCAAATGATATTGAGCATGTTAATAAGCCATTCTCCCTGCCCCACCAGCAGCCACTTTGTACGTTTGCTGAGCAGACCAATCAGTCATTTTAAAAAAGGGGCAGAGGGAATTTCCGGTGGAGCGGTGAAATGCTATATACGCTTAATTAGATTAGCTCGCTTCGTCTGGAAAGGTCATACTCCCCGAAAAAGTCTTGATTCATAAACCGACTATGCTTTCGTGACCTATTCGATTGATTTAACAGACCGTCTTACTAAAGAAAGAAATCCAACCTGAACTGCATGATTGGGCGTTAGAGGCAATCGAAGAAATGAAGATGGTCACCTCAGAATTCTTTAAACTTCCTCTGGGAGAGAAGATGGTCTGTGCACAGACTC